CTTTTCCGGCCCCCGTTCTGGCTTTCCCTCAAAGCCCCCCCCCCCGTGTCTCCCTCATGAAAAGTCTACCTTCAACATGCAGTAGCCGCAGCGCCTCAGCCGGAGGGTCGGGACGGCCGGAGAGAGCATGGATTTCTGTTCTTCCCTCATCGGCCCCTACAAAAAATGGAAAACGACCACATGGGTGGGTGGGAATAAAGTGTAGGTTGGACGAACTTTGTCTGGGACCCCCATATCGCTTGGGGGCTGCTCCCAAGCCCCCCACGTGGACGCTGAAAAGACACAATACATGAAGTACCGTATATTTTTAAAAAACTTCTATTTATTTTTAAAACTCCTCTATTATTCATTTGTTCATTTAAAATGTTTTTAACCCGGCCTTTCTCCTTAAAATGGACCCCATGCAGCCTTAAAAAGCAGTATCCAAAGCAAGCAAGAGGGAGGAGGCAAATACTAAAAAAATAAATAAAAAACAGACACAAGCCCCATAAATTCAAAAGCGACATGAAAACACATTCGAAGCAGAAAAGGCACAACTGTCCATCTTAAAACCCCACCCAGGCAGCTCCGTGAATTAAGGGAAAACCTGCCCGAAGAGAAAGATCTTGGCCTGCTGGGGGAAGGAGTACCCAGATGGGGCCCAGGCTGGCCTCCAGTTGCAGGGAGTTCCACAGTCTCTGGGAGGAGCAGCCGCCAAGAAGGCCCTCCTCTCCCGGGTCCCCACCAAGCCCAGCTGTGAGGATGATGGGAACGACAGGAAGGCCACCCCAGAGGATCCTAAAGGGAGACGCGGTCTTTGAGATAGCGTGGATCAAAGCCGCTTATAGGGTTTGTTTGTTTTTTTTGATATATGAAAATCCACAAGCAAGCCACCTACCTTCTCGCCGTCTTGATCCTCCTCCACGTAGCCAGGATCCATGAGGGACACGGCAAAGTAGAGAACGGTGGAGAAGAAAATCAACGTGACAAACAGCAGCGGCTGAAGGAGCTCCCCTCGCTCTACCTCCCTCTGCAAATCTGGAAAAAGGGGGGAATATTAAAAATAATAAATCAAAGAGAAATAAGATGGTAGCGAGCAGGAAAGCAAGTTCGTGGAAGACATCTCGGAACAGCTTCGGTCCAAGGTCAGGTCTGTTGATGATCGTCAGGATCACCGAGAGAAAGCTTTCTGATGATTGTGGATGATTGTGCCCCATCAGGGGGTCCCGGATCAAATCAAGCCAGAACTTTTTTGCCCCCGTTGGGACAAATGCCGGACCCGAGGCTTGTCCTCCTTGGGGCCCATCCGGGAGAAGGAAAGACGCTTCTCTCGAGGCGCCAGACCATAATATACGCCAAGGAACTCTGCAAAGTTACGTCACAAAAGGAGTGAACAGACAAATAAAAATACACAGCCTTGGAAGTAAAGGACCAGCCAAATCACGTTGCCAATCGATAAACGAATAACGGATTATTTCAAGTAACGCATGTAGCCAACAGATATATAAATAACGTATAATTTTAAGTAACAAGTACTGTATGCAACTAATGTAGCCAGCAGAAATAAATAATGAAGTAGCCGACAGATACTTAAAATTATACGTTATTTATATAACATGTATGCAACTAGTGTAGCCAGCAGAAATGATTAAGTAGCTGACAGATATATAAATAACATATAATTTTAAGTAACATGCATGCAACTAATGTAGCCAGCAGAAATAAAGAATAAATTATCTTAAATAACAGGGAACTAATGTAGCCGACAGATTAAAAAATAAGTTATTTTAACAGGCAACGAAGGTAACCAAAGAATAACAAAATTCTTCAAAATTAACGTACTGAACGGATCGTTCCTGTAAGTAACCAAGAAAAAAGGCAAGGTCTTAAACAGTGAAAGCGGGAGGAGGAGGAAGCTCATGAGGGTGTAAGGAGGGCATCATCCTAACGAAACCTTCTGGCCTGGGTGGGGGGGCGTGGGATCCGTTTCCCCACGGAGGGAATGCTGATGGACCACAACTCCCATCGTCCTCTGGCTGGCTGGGGGGTGGGGGTGGCGAATGGGAGTTGTAGTCCGACTCAGTCTTGGGGGGGGTTCCTACCTGTGGGGTGGAGGAAGAGGGCCAGGGCGATCCCCCAGCTGAGCCCCGTCTGCGCCCCCCGCACCACCCACCCGCCCTCCCAGGCCGCCCGAAGCCGCATCCTTCGCCCGCCTGGGAGAGCCTCCAGCGCCAGGAGCAGCCGCCTCCTTTGATCTCCGCCGCCGCCTTTGATCTCCCTCCCCCTGGCTACAATGTTGCCCAAAGCGGAAGCCCTGGAGCCCCGCCTCCTCTCGGAACGGAAGAGCGGATTGGCTGCGAAGGGGAGGGAGGGTTTGCCCTGGCGAAAATAGGAGGCGGGCCCGGCGGGGAGGGCGCTCCGGGATTGGCCAGGGGGGATGGGGCAATCGCCGCCCGGTCCAAGGGGGAAAAGGATGGGGGGAAGAAAAAACCTCCCATCCGCGGGACCGGCATCCGCGGATTCATTCCCCCCCTACACTGCCTAGGAATATTCAAATAGACTAAAAAGGCGTATTTATAGTGTATGGGTTTTGTATTTACCCGGAGTGGCCACTGGAGGGAGCCAGAGAGAGGGTGCTCAGAAGGGGTTTCCCATTCCCTTCCTTTGGGGGGCGCCCTTGGACTCTGCAGCCCCCCCCCCAGGAGGCCCAGCGGGGGAATGGCGCCCTGAACCTCTGGTTCTGCAGCCAGATGCTGAAACCACTCAGCCAGCCAGCCAGCCAGCCGGCTCCTTCCGAAGGGCTGCTCATTTCGCCCTCCCTGGAGCTCAGACCCTAAAAAGGGTGAGGTTTCCTCGAACCCAGACCCCCCACACCCTTCGCTTCCTGGGATCGATTTTGCGCTTGGCTTTTAGGAGGCCGTCGCCGAAGGGTGCTGTGTTTGTTCAAACCGTTGCATTTGGTTCTCCGACAAGAGCGGGCAATCCTGAACTCGGAACGGAACCGCCGGCCTGGCAGGCGGGTCTCGCAACCGGGCAGCCGGACTTTGACGGCAGGATCTCCCCCCCCCGAGACCCACAAACTTCTCGACAGGTTTGACCCCTTCGTGCAGAACCCCAAAAGGGAAATACTGAGGCTTAAGTTTAAGGCTTAAGTTTGGGTTTCCTCGGCCCTCACCGGGAGTGAAGATTTGGACAGCTACTTTTTCTTAGGATGGCAACCATTGAACAAGGAGGCCTTCCCTGAAGTCTTCAAATCCTGCAAAGTTTTGACTCCCCCCCCCTTTATTTGGCACCAGTTGGGCCTTCTCTGGAATACTGTGCCCAGTTCTGGACACTGCCCCTCGAGAAGGATGATGACAAACCGGAGCAAGTTCAGAGGAGGGCCACCAGGAGAAGGATCAGGGGGCCGGGAAACCGGGCCCAAGGAGGAAAGACGGAAAAAACTGGGCATGTTTAAGCCTTGAGAAAAGAAGACGGAGGAGAGAGAGGAGGGAACTCTTCGAATATTTGAAAGGTGGTCCTACACAGGAGGGGCAGGATCTGTCCTGCATCATCCCAGTGTGGGGGACATGCAAGGATGGGCTCAAATGACAGGAAGCCAGATTTAGGCTCAATCTTAGGAAAAAAAAACTTCTCAACTGTCAGAGCTTTATGACAAGGGAACCCATGACCGAGGGAGGGAGTGCGAGCGCTCCCGACGGTGGAGGCCTTCAGAAGAAAACATGACCACCCTCTGTCAAGATCTGCTTGGATCTGGAGTTCTGTCTTGAGCAGAATCCCCCGGGGCAGCCAAAACTCTTGATTTTTGGAGATACTGATGATAGGGGGGATCTTGCTCTCTCCTTATCGGGGGCAGAGGGGGACCGTCTGAAATCTAGGAAAGCAAACCGGAAAGGGGAAACTCCCAGGAAAGCGAGTTCTGAAATTTCCGACTGATTTGTTCAGCCCCGGTGGCTCCGAACCTTGGTGACCCCATAGCCGGTCGGTGCCTCCTTGATGCCGGAAACCAGCTCAGGGTGGCCTTCCGGACCACAACTTCCATCCTCCCCAGCCTCCCGTGCAAAGGATGAGGCATGCTGGGGGTTGTAGTCCAACCACCTCCTGGAGGGATCCATTTCGCCCCCGTCATTTAAAATATGCCCTCCAAACCCAGGAACCAACGTGCGGCACAAAATCTCACTGAAGCGAACCAGGGGACCAGAGGGGAAACTGGCCCCTTTCCTTTAACATCGTACTGACAGAACAGGAACACCGATTTTCTTTCTTTTTTTTAAACTTTAATGATGTAAAACCTTTTGCCCGTTACATCAGCGGGTGCCTCCAGCCAAAGGGTTTCTTGCTGCCGACCCCCTTCTCTGTGCAAAGAGAGCTGGCTCTCCGCTGCTCTCTGGCGCCACCACTCCGGTTGGTCAAAAAGGGGTATTGCACCGCTAAATCACGAGGCGCCGGGTTTAGGATACCGGCAGGAGGGTTTCCGTCGGGTTCTCGAAAGCCATCCGGTTCCGTCCCTAGCTGTCCGTTCTGGCTCGCCCTCCGGGCCACCGATGCAGATATCTGCCGTGGGTATGGAAAGCAGCCAGGAAAAAAGGACCCAAATGTACCGAGTCCGATCCAGAATTAAGCATGTACTCCCTGCGCCGACGGAAGCGGAAGGATGGCTCTCTTCAAAAGAATAGGGAGAAAAGGATCCCCACCCACCCCCAAAAGCCGACAGGCTCCTTCTGTGTGAGCGGGCAAAAGGCAGCTCTGGACCTTTTTTTTCAAATCATTCTTCTCTTTTTGGGGGGGGGGACGGGTACCCCAGGAGAACTGGCAGCAGGGGGGACGATCCCGTTCCCCTTACAAGAATCGCGCTCAGGTGCGTTTGAGGCTTTTCGTTTTCTCAAAACCAACAAAAAATAAAGGCCCACAAGATAACGCGCCGCCCGTCCCGTTTCTTTCCGTCTGTTCTTTTCGACACAGAAACTGGCAACGAGCACAGAAAATTCAATTTGTACTTTTTAAAAAACAAAAATAACGGGGGCCGTGGGGGGGGGGAGAGAGAGAAAAAATACCTATTTAAAGGGCAAATTGGTGGGTGGATGTTTTGTGCAAAATGGTCCTCCAGCAAATTTTTGCTCAGGTGAGTCTTTTCTTCCTTTTCTCCATCTGCTGGGGGTCGTTTTTGAGACGTACACGCACGCACACGCACACAAAATATTCATTAAAGGCTCCTTCCGACAGCTAAGCTGGTGAGACAGTCTGACCCTATATACAGTGAACGGGAGCAATGCTTGTGGATACAGTGTCAGCGGAAAGTCGCGAGTCACGCTCGCCTCTATCTGGACGTGTCCATGTTCTCGTTCATAAAATCGTTGCAGTGTTCTATGACAGTCCTAGAAAAAAAGGGTCAAAAAGGAGAAAAGACACTCAAGCACGCTGCGTTATAAGGAAGGAGATACCCATGTGACTGTCAGTGTTTAATCCTGCCTATAGGGACCTTTCTGAGCTGGACTGACTGTCAATCTATCCAGCACCAACCAATGGACTGTCGGTGTTTAATTCTGCCTATAGGGACCTTTCTGAGCTGGGGTGACTGTCAATCAATCCAGCACCAACCAATCGTTCTTTCCCTCCTCTGAACTCAAAGAGAGCCCCGCCTCTCTGCTGAGCATCTCTTTTCCCTCTCTTTAGTCTGTCAAAGCCGGTCGTTTGTTTGCTGTTGATCTGTTCACAATCGTAAGTAGGGAAACGTCTTTATTCATTCCCCTACAAATGTCTCAGAGGGAGTTACTGATACATCAAGTGCCTGTGAATGAGAAAGGGGTGGACTATCTGAGGGGAACTTGAAGCTATTCTCCTGCGGGAGTCACTGTACTACTCTGGTGTAGCACAAGGAATTTTAGACAGAAATTCAGGACGATGGACCTCTGTTTCCAGGAGAAGACTTGCCACATTTTGTTGGCAGAAACTGGCCGGGGGTGTTGTGTGTGTTCCAGGCCAAACTTCCATCATCTCCAGCTGCCAGACCAAAGGGTGAGGCATGCTGGGGGTTGTAGTTGGGGACACACTCCTCTCTCCTTATGATATCTGCCCAGCTTCCTATTTTCTCATCCCTTGCATACCACTGACTCACAAGACTGGAGTCTCAACTCGTACGCTTTGTAGCTGAGGTGCAGTCGCTTTATAGCGGCTAAAGGCACGTCACGGAATGACTGTAAGCAATAAACTCTCGCGCAATCTCAAGGAGTGCGAAGGACAAAAGGTCAACAGCACTGCCAAGATGGCTGAAATTTACCAGACTTTTGACTCTACCGTTAGCAGAAGCTGGAACTTTTTCTCTTCGTGTGGCATAATGTGGTAGCAAAACACGGTTCCGTTCCCTACCTCACCGGGAGAGGAAACCTACCGTCCCATTTCCTTTGTTTCAGGGCGTGCCGTGGCCATATTGATCATGTCGGCCAAGAGGACGAGACCTCCTTCTTTGAACAGCAGGGGGCAGTATTTGTCCGCTAGAAACAGAAAGGGGGGGGGAGAAAGACTTTTCATTTGCTCGCAACTCTTGTATACAATAAGGGTCTCTTTGCCGGCGTCGGCGAGCACGCCACAGCTTCCTCGCGAGGGACTTACGGTAGACGGAAACGAGGTTGTACAGCGCCCACGTCGCCCAGTGCTGGCTGACCGGGGAGATCCTCTGCGGAATGAGTCTAAGGATCGGCTCAAAGGACCTGGAAGGACCGGAGAGGAATTTTAAAAAGGGGGTCAGTAGCTGAACGGGCATTTTTCTGACCCCCTCGGGCTTCCTACATTGGGGCTGCGTGAGAGAGTTGAGGATAGAAGAGTGGGCGGGAAGAAGGGGGAACCTTACAATCCAACAGCCAGTATTGTGTGCGTGTGTGTATCCATCCATCCATCCATCCATCCATCCTTTAGGCAGAGAGACCAGTGTGCTCAACCTGTAGTTGATGTTCCTCCGGGAATTCACGTCCCAGCGCTGAATCGCGGCCCACATCCTCTCCACCACCTCCTCCCGGGGTGGCTCCGCGATCCCCCAGGCCTCCGGTCCGTCGAACATGATGTGGGAGAGAACCCCGCAGGCGTTGTAAGACACCTCGATCCCGTCGGCTTCGCTGTCCAACAGGTTGCTGTCGGGAAAGGCATCAAAACACGTCTGTCTTTAAACCTCCTGGCCACTATATCCCTTTGGGGGAAACCACAGCAGGTCTCTCCTATCAGCAGAACCGATAACTGCTGATTCACTTATCCGCGGGCTGAAAATACTAAATAACCCCCCTCAGAAATACCTATTTATAGATATATTTCCAGGGTGTCTTTTCCAGAACTGGACAACAGAAGGAGCCAGAGAGCATGAAATGCATAGGGTTTACTATTATCCACGTTTTTCAGCATCTGCGGGGCAGAATCGATTCCCCACGGATACAGTGATCCTATGGCACGGCTATTTTTTTAATGTTTCTCTCATGACATATGCATTCTGGGGGCCCTCTGAGAAAGTACTTGGCGTTGAACAGATGCGATGTGTCGCTCACAGCCCTGGGGGTTCCTTTTTTTACCCCTTCAAACTACATCGGCGCGGCGCTCACCTGAACACGGTGATGAACTGGGACGTCATAAGCTGGGGGCGCAGCTCTTGTACCTCCGCGACGTTTCCCAGGAGGCCGAGCATGTTGCGGTGTAGCTCCTGCTTGTTAGGAAACTCCTAAAAGGGGGGAAAGGACAAATCGGAAGAGGAATCAGTCACGGAGCGGATCCGGCTCCCCACGTCCCCGAGCATCCTTGACACGGACCTTCAAGCATTCCAGGAAGAGTTTCATGCCGCTATAGTTGAGGAACATCTCGCAGTTGTTGGGCGTCTCGTCGGTGATGTTCCACAAGGCGCTCCAGGAGAACTCCATCACCTGATCGCACTGTAGGAGCAGAAAGAAAGTTAAGGCAAGAGAGAGCAGACAGTTTTGCACCTTGCTCTCCCCTCGCCGGGTTGGACGTGAGGTTCTGCGGTGCGTGTTTTACGGTCCTGAAGCTGTCAAAAGCCTCAGGAGAAAGCGGACCTGAAATATTCGTGTGAAACCAGCCCTAACGCCAAGCTGCCATTTTAATTCTCTAGCAAACGTTATCCATAGCCTTGTCTCTGGATCCCTCTCGTAGCCAGTTCGGGTAACTTCAGCTTTCGAAATGAGTATTTATATGATTTTTCTTTTAATGTTTTTAGACTATGGATAAGCGAATCCGTGGATACTGATCCTGTGGATAAGGGGGTCCTACTGTATTTACTGATGGAGTGAGGGGCTTTTCTCACACACAAAAAATATCTAAGTCTAATCTGGTGGTTCTTCATGTTCCTTGAGCAAACCGTTTACAAAATGAACAAGAATTTGCCAAATGGG